CAAAATTGAAATTGCATTTCAAGGATTCACCATGATGAACATGATATTTATACTCTGTTCATTGCACCTTCTGATTAATAATAACCTTAACAACATACCTTTTACTCTGATTGAAATTTGATAACCTTGTTAGCATGATGATGATGAAATGACAACAATGAACTTTTGATAATCTGATATTGATAATATTTTCATTCCATTTTTTTCTCATCATCAAATTCAATATAACAAAGTATCAATTCTTGAATAAATGTATATAACTACTCTCTCTCTCTCTCTCTCTCTCTCTCTCTCTCTCTCTCTCTCAACCAGCATGATAGATGAATGAAACATTGATGAGAATACTTCGATTCAAAAAGAATAAGAAATAATTCTCAGAATCTTCAAGTAATAATGATAATAGGAAAAGAATTTTTTTCTCTTCATCTTCTCTAGAATTAATATTTTCTCTCTCTTTCTTTGGATACTTTTGTCTTCTTATAACGGAACTTTTATCCTCACCCACTTTCTTCTTCCCCAATCATCATCATTTTCATCATTGATATTGAGTTACCTTTGTTATCTACCTTTTAATAACTATTATCGGAATCATCTTTCTGTCTTACTTCATCTCTAGATGATGATTCCTAAGAATTGAATCAAAGAGATGAAAAAAGTTTCTCCATCTTCATTTTCTTTAACGGTTTTATTTTCTTATTCTTCTTGTTTCAAATTGTATCAACATGATTCTCATCATGTTGAAAATGAGTGAGAAAAGTAAACAGACTTGGTAACATTTACAAGATTAACTGAGGAGGAAGAAGATGAAAAAAAAAGATTGAAAAAAAGAGAGAAACAGAATCATCTTAATCATCATTATCAGAATGGAAACATTTGATTTCTATTGCAAAGAGATGGTGAAACTGTAAAGATAACAGGATATCCGGTTAGAGCATCGAGATTTTTTCTGATTACAATTTTAATTGGTTCAATTCAAGAATTATCATCATCATTGTACTGTTAGAATTTTTCAGTAATAACAAAAGGAAAGAAGGAAAAAAACAAAAAACTATCATTACTATCGAAGAGTAAAAGTAAAGTTCTAATGGAACATTTTGACTTGGAATAAAAATGGAGAAAAAAGAAGAAAAATAAACTCATACAACATTTTCTTCATCCATTCACAAATATATATACCTTACAATAGACAATTCAAACTATCAGAATCAAAAGTATCTTTCATCAGAATACTCTAAGTGCATGAAACATTATTACTATTTTACATCATGATGGCACTTTTTATACACAAATATGAGCTACTGTTCATTTCCGTTCTGGTCAAAAATGAATTTCCGTCTATAGACTTAACCGGATTTCCTAGTAAATGGATATTTCTTATTCCGGCTTCGTGCATTTATATAAATGTTAAAAGTAATGGAGAGAGAAATAAACAACTTGGAACATGAATCTGAGCAAAGAAAGATAAAAGTTCCAAAAGTTCTGATAATCCAATAAAAACACATTAGGAATGCAATAAATTATGAACCAGAAAAATTTGATACACAAAATTTTCATCATCAGAACATTTTGTTAAGCCTCTGGCTGAAATTATTAATAGAATGCACTTGAAATTAGCCAGAATTTATGAAAGTTATTACCTTTTTGGTACAGAAAATTTGGAATATTGAACAAAACAAATAAAATCAGAATTTCGAAACCAACTAACGAAAATTTTATTCCATTCAATAGAGAAAGAGAAAATTGAATACATAATTATAATGGTGATTGGATTTCTTTCTGTAGAATTAATCATGATGGAAACCAGAACTTTCTCTCTATCAACACAATTTTGAGAATAATTTCATTTTCGTTCTTTATTTATTCTCTTTTAACTAATTCTCTCTGATGGATGCTCATTATGTTACTAAATAGATTGTCAAGACATTACTGTAATTCATTGGAGTTGAATGAAGAAAATATCTAATAATAATTTGGCTCTCTATTCTGTATCAACTCAATCTATTGCTTAGGAAAAATTTTGATGTTCAGTATTCATTAAGTCACCGAGGTCTCAGGGGAGATTCAGTTATGTTCAACTTGTATGACACAAGGTTGTCACACTTGCAGTTTAATTCAAATAAGAAGAGGCAAAAAAAAATGCTCATCACCATCTTTTCATGATGTTTATAAGAGTTATGAAATAGTTGTGAATATCCTCCTGTTGGAATGAGTATAAATAAATAATGATGAATAACCTTAAATGAGATAATGAATAAAAAATGATGATGAGGAGGAGGAAAAAAATCAGAAATGATTAAGGTGGATATGGAATTTAGATTCAAACTCAATTAAATTAACCCTTGACAGGTTACATGATAAGTTACCACCAATGAGATATTATTTTCATGATAAATTCTGGTAAATTCAATTTCTTTTTTTTTCATTACCTTTGATCGATGTGATCTAATCAAAGTCTATTTACCTGTCCAGTTATTTTCATGTGTAATCCTCTCATGATTATTGATAATCTGCTGTTTTAATCTCCATGACAATAAATAAGAATGGTGATGAATGTTGACTGAATTTTTTATATAAAATTCTGATTACAAAAAGTTTAGTTGAAGATTGAAAACTCATTATCATGTTATTCATCTTAAAGAATATCTAAAAATCAAGTATTCTATTCTTAATCAGAATATTATTTAAATTCGTATAGTTTGTTTTTCGAGATGAAGAAGAAAAATTCTTTCTATTCTGTTTACCTTCCTTTTTTTACCATGACAATCATCATGTTTATTGCTGAAAACTTTATTCTTTTAATATTATTTTTCTCACAACAAAAAAAAACCTTAACATATTATTCATGCATATATTTATTCAGACAAAATTCAGTTCTGACAAGTTCAACATTAGTCTAGGGATAATAATCAACATCATCATGATAATTTCAGCACTTCTTATATACACACTCAACTTAATCAGTTGAGTTCTGTAAACAACAATTCTGTTTACAGATAAATATTATTTATATATGAGAATGGAAGATATCTTGATATCGAAATTGGAAATTTTTTGATTTATTGAAAATTCTGAATGACAATTTGTTTTACTTCAAAAAAAATGAAAGATAAGAAATGAATCTGAGCAAAAAGGAGTTCATGTTAACAGGCAACACTTAACACATCATGAAAGTGATAAAAAACTGCAAAGCTTGAATGTGATGATGATATTATCATGACGATGATGATGATGGTATTTATCAGATTTTATTGAATTACCAGAATGAGATAATATCATGAATGAAGCATGTTAATGTTTCCATATACATATGAATATTATATTAGATTGTTATTATTATCCTGATGACATTGGGCTCTTAATCATTTTGCATAATTAATTAGCTGATGAATTATTATTATTATTATTTTCATATGTAAGTTATAAGGTGTTAACGATTATAATTATACACTTAGACAATCAAATAGTTTTAGTAAATCATGATGACAATTCACCAAAAGTTTTACTCGTTTTTTTCATCATCATTTCACTAACGATTTTAATGATATCTTTCATGATAAGTTTCAAGATAATCAATTGATTTAATTTTTCCAGCTTTTATTAATTAGTTAATTTTTGACACTTTTTTTTGAATTAAGAATAAGAAATACTTCCAGATCATTAATGGTAAAGGTGATAATGTTAACTTTTATTTTGCCTTCATGATGAATTTGCATCTTCAAAAGTATTCATGGTAGAAACCAGAACTATTGAAGATATTGGATCAAGTAAAGAAGAGAGAGAGAGAGAGAGAGAGAGAGAGAGAGAGAGAGGATGTTCTGAGAAAAATGTTGGTGGAAGTTGAAAGAGGAAAAAAGGAAAAGGAAAACAAATATAACGATACAAAAGACAGAAAAAGCATCAATAACATTGGAAGATGAAGGAAGGTAAAAAAAAGGTAAAACTGATGATACCAAAGAAAATCGAGAGAAAAAGTTCTGAGTAAAAATGTGAAAGAAAAGATAACATTGAGAATGAACTAGAACATAAGAAGAGTTCGTAAATATTTGAAAACCAGGTAACGATCTGGATAAAAGGTTGACTCAACAAATTGTTAGTTGAGTGTAAGATGATAAGAAAGTTATATAAAGAGATACTGGTGATGATGATAATAATGATTCCCAATGAATTCAGAGAACATGGGAAACTACTTAATATCCGTAATTCGGAGCCAATTTCATTCTATTGTCAAAGTTTACTTTCATCATCATCATTCATCACTAATACATTTGATTCATTATAAATTATCCTCATTAAGAGTTAAATATTTCAATCAAATCTTTTTCTCTTTACATCCAAATTGTTCAGATGATGGAACTGAGATTATTCAGCTTTTATCTGTTTATCAAATTTTCCAAAATATTTTGCAAAACTTTTTTATCTCTTATAATTTGATGAAGAAAAAATCATCACCACCCTCTTCCGGTTGATGAACTTGTAAATCAGAATGATGATGATGATTGAAATTTCTTTCTTTTCTTCAGGCTCATACTTATTCATTTTTACTGAATTATATTCCTCATCTCAATTGTAATTACATGGGAAGTTTTTTCATCTTGCTTCTGGTTTGATTAAGTTTCATGATGTTAACAGAAAACACAGTTATTACATAACCTTAATTGGATTATATTACATTAATTTGATAGAATTGATACTTTGTTATATAATAATAATTGTTTCCATGTTTTTTCATGATTCTGACAGAATTGAGTGTATTTCATAGAAACAGAAATAGTAGAAATAAACAGAAAAAAAAGATTAATCAACCATAATGATGGATTATCTTTGAACTGTTCTGAAGAAACTATTGTTTCATTTTCAGAGTTTATCATGAAAATTTTCATTCTACTTAATCCTTGATATATATATTTATGAATTTACTTTAAAGATAAATTTTCTATTTGGCCAGTGTCTTTATATTGAGAGAATTTCAATTTGTATGAACTTTTTCATGAGATTCTTACCCGAAACTCAAAGCCATCGTCATCAGATAGACCCAAATATTGACCACATTCAGTTTTAACGACAAGACTTTCATTCCAAGTGGATTCAAATAGCTGATCAGATTGAGCCTGAAGGGATGCTGATGATGCATCATGTAAAGATTGGGGGACATGAGATGATGATGAATTATGTTTTGTTAAAGTAATCACACCAATCATTGATAATATCAGCATTATGGTTATAGTTAAAGGTATTGCTTTAGATAGTTTTGCAAACATTGATGATGATCCTGAGTTATCCTGAGGTGATAATGTTGATGATGGTTTGGATGTTGATGAAGGAGAGGAAACAGTTGATGGTGATGATGATGATGATGATGTTGCAAAATAAGATGATGTACTAAATGGTGGTGGTTGTAATGGTTGGTTGAATGTAAAAAGATTCGCATCCATTGAACCACTTCGGTATCCATCGTTAACTTCACCACGAGACGAACGGTAATTTGCTAATAGAGACATATTTTCACTTGAATCGTCTCTCATTGAGAATTGAAACTGAGAATAACTTAAATTGAACTTAATCAGCTGTTTTTGTTTTCGTAAACGAAATCGAAATATGAAATTCAAGAAATTAGTACAAAGAAAAAAGTTCTGATTGATTCACAAGTTGATGATTTAGATGAAGAAGATGATGAACACTAGTAAAGAAATGAAGTTCCTTTGGAAGTGTGTGTGTATATAATTTACTTTAGAATTTGAATTTACATGAAGATAAACAAAGAATGGATCATGAATGAAGATAGATTATGGATTATTAGAAGATGAAGATTAAAGAGGAAAGGATTAGATGAATTAAAGAGAGTTGAGTTGATGAGAAGATGATTTCTCTTTATTGTTTAGTTGCAAAGTTTCGAGTTTGAATCAGAGCAAAATTCCTTGATAATATTGAACATTTCCCTGTTTCTATTGAACAAGTGACTGCTTTTCTATCTCATGAGTACAATGTTTACTTTCTTCCTTTCCATGAAATTTTTTCTCACTCAGAATCAGAATCATCTCAGAAAAACATCAATACAGGAGTGGAAACTTTCTGTACAGTGGTGACCTCTACTCTCGACGATTCTTTTTTACTTCTAGTATCACGTTGAGAATATGAATGGAAAAATTTTCCTATCGGAATTTTCATCAAATCAATATGATGAAAATTAATAACAGATTCTGCTCAACAATGCTGGTTATCAACTGGAATACTATTACTACAAAGAGAGAGAGAGAGAGAGAGAGAACTCATATCAGTTATCATAATATTCATTGAGAATGTAATCATGGTGAAGAAGAAAATAATTCTGTCCATGATAACGAAATAACCTGAGGTTAAAGTTGTTACAAAAAAAGAAAATGATAATAATCAAGAGAATATTATTTTTCCACTATTAGAACAATATTAATTCATCTCAATTGGATCGAAGTGAAAATAGTACAAAAGCTTAATCACTTTTCCCTAATGAAAAGAAACTTATCAATCAGGTAAGAAAAAGAATTCGATAAAAATATTATCAAGGAATTTCTCTAGAATCAGAATTGGGTGAAAATTGAAAATGAAAGGTTAAGAAAAATGTTCAGCTCAACTTTTCTTGAGCATTTCTCTTTCCATACCTTTCACGCCCAATTATGATCGCAATTATCAAGAGTAAACATATAATGCTACAATTTCTGTGATATGATATCAGATATATTAATAATTTCCAATATCTGTGTTTGATTGATTGTCAATTCCAGTTACAAGTAAGAGTAAAAAAACAGCCAAACCAACAATCGCCCAACCCTACAGGGAGAACTGAATAAAAAAGCTCAGCATTGAGCTTAACCTTAGATAAAATAATGCTGTGCTAAGCTAATATTGGGACGAAACATGAAAGTGATAGTGATGATAATGAAGACACATCATGGTATCATCTTCATGGTTTTAATGTGAACAGAAAATGATTGAAAGATGATAAGAGGAAGAAGAAGAGAGAAGCAAAAAATTATTCTAATAAAGATGATAAGGTGAATGAAAAGGGAGGATAATGATAGAGATGATGATGATAATGATAATAATAACATGAGAAAGATAATAAAGTTCAACCAAGAGTGAAAAAAAAATCTAATAGAAACTATCACATGAAAACTACTACAACTCTCATTAGATAGACATTATTATTATCTTATTAATTTTGATATTATCTCGTTGGTGTATTGTTGCTAATATTTATCACCTACTTCCTCATCTCCATGAAAACTGAAGATAATTAAATATTTATCTCTGATATGAACTTTTAATTTAATGTTACCTTTATGATGAAAATGAGCTAAGAGCCAACAAAAACATCTCTGCTGGTATTTTGCATCTTAATCAATTTTTTATCATTTTTCTGGTTAATTAACAGGCAGTTTATTATATTGTTGAAACAATTAAGCCAAGAAAATTAAATTATTAGTCTTAATAATAATTAGTGTTCAACTTTTTTAGCTACACTGATTATGAAGTTGTGCTAATGGTAAACAAAAATTCAGTCAAAATTATCGTATGAAATCAATTGGGATTGAATTACTTGTTGAAGAGAAAACAATTAGATGATTAAATGATTTCGAATGATTTAATTGTTTCTCATCTTCTTTTCACTGTCTATGAGGTTTTTAATTTAAATTCTTTTGGTACCAATTAGTGGTCCTGACTAATTACTCTTGGAATTGTGGTCATCGCGAATCAATAATCAAAATGTAGTAAAAGTTTCTTGCTTCTTTCGCGAAAATTTGGAAAACTTCTGATTGAATCGCAATCGAATCACAATGAACAGTTTACTTGCTAATGATAATATGAAATATGAAACTTGAGTTAAATGATGAAATTGGCGATCATGGTGATGATGAAATTGTTTGATACAATTTATCTCAACAATCTTGAATCAAAATTTTCACCCTGGGAGTGAATGATAACCTTTAAAGTTTCACTGTCAACGAGCATTTTCACCCATTCCCTTTGCACCTTAATATCATCATCACCATAAATCACAAGTAAATTGCATGTTAAGCATAACATGGACTCATTCTTACACTTATCTTCCCTTTATATGATCATTCTCATTCTCATCATTATCATCATCAACCAATTCTTATTATTCCAACATCTCCTCTTTTTTCAACCTTATCCTAATACCACAGAATATTGTTCAACATTCAGCATGTAATGGCGAAAAAGGTTCAAGAAAGCCAGAGTATTGTCTCTCTCTCTCTCTCTTTGTTACTTGTTCTAAATTCAGTTTTATATTCTCTTTTATTTCATAAACCACCATAGTTATAATATTATCTCACAGGTTCCTATTCATGGCAAGAGTTAAAATCCATGAGAAAACATTTCAGAATCATGATGATGATAATTTAAAGAAATGATGAAAAACCGATCGATCCAAATACTTTTTTTTGCTCGCTAATTCACATTCAGGATCAGTGAGACTTAATTGCAATTAACCATAGTAAACATTTCCTTCTATGGATAAAATGTGAAAATTCAAATTCCCTGAATAAACTGAATATGTAAATTCATCTATTCAATGATCAACCTTTGATGAAAGTGCTGATTATTAGCTGAGATTCTGGATGAAATCAGTTAACTTTGTTTACTGAACTTTTTTTCAGTATCGTAGCTAAAAATAAAGTTCTGATTTAACAATCTAATTTGAATAATTTGATTCAGTTGAAAAATGTGATTTATGATGAGACCACAAATGGATGTTAACATGGATAAAGTTCAAGAGCGAGTGAAAAAAAAATCTCTATGGAAATAAATTAGAGCCAAAATTAAGGATCAATTTTATTCGTAAATATTTTTTTGATTGATTGTTGCACAAATATAATTTCAATCTAAACTTTAGCAACAATTTACGGAACCTTTTTCTCAACCATTAACATTGTAATTGTTGACAATCATTATACTGAACTTTGTACATGATTATATATAGTAAATATCATCATCATCATCATGAGCATGGTGTTGATTGCTTTAGATTAATAATAATAAGGGTAGACAATGTATGAGAATAAAAAAAAATAATCTAATGCATGTGAATATGAAAAGGTTGAGAATCTCATGAAAGTCAATTGTGAGCCAAAGGATAATCCATCAAATTATATGTCAACATATTAGAGTTTGGGAATGCAAAGTAAGGGAGATTTGAGTGGATAGAGGATGTAAAGAAATATGTTGTTTGATGTTCATGGTGGTGATCATCATGGTAATCATGATGATGAAGCAAAAATTTCATTGAAATTCTGATTATTTTTTGTTTCATCGCCATCATCCTTATATATATCATGTAAAAATAATCACAATCTTCAATCAAATGAGTCAGACATGAAACCTAAATGTGTTACTAATAGACATCAATTTCAATTTAAGCTCAATTTCAAATCGCTCGCAAAGTGCTGATAATTGATACTACGAATATATTAATACATAATATCCTTTATACCAGAAAATTGTCGCATAATTAGCGTTTGCATGTGATAATCTTTGAATCGGTGAGTTAAAATGTAACTATGAACTTGAATTAGTCAAATATTGGTCTTGGATTCTCCGAGAATAGTTCATTAAATTGTTATTATTATTAAATGTCTCTTGAAATTTCATCTCCTTCGAGAATCCTGGTCATGGAAATGGTGAGAAAATCTAATCCCACAATTATGATACTTTAATTAGATACTGAAGTTTATGCGGTAGGACAATTGATTTAAGTGAATATCATCAAGTTGATTGTTATCATGAAAAAGTATATTAAGTATCTAAAGTAAGTCAATTACCCTTTATGATGGCGATTATAATGTAATCATAATTTAATGGATGATATTTTTGAAACGATGAAACTATTATCATGTATGAGACTTGAGGGTAAAGTTTGAATGGATTGGATAATGAAAATGCGATTCTCTTGATGTTGTTGTTGTCGCTTCTACTGGTTAAATGATGATATTTTTTTTCACATAGACTCATCAAATTTTTCCCTCCCTCATCCTGGATCTTGTTCATGGTGTATAAGCACAAATTCCTGGTTATATTCTGATTCAGATTCTGGAGAGACACATATACCATTTAAAGTAATGACAATAGCAACAAAAGGTGAGACTATGCCTTTGAGGGTTTGAATGAAACTATTATTATCATTATTATTATTATTCGGGATAAAATGGAAATGAATCAAGTTCAGTTGATTGTTATTTCATGATAAACATGATCCAAGGAGGAAAAAATATACTCACACAAATGATAATGGAATCTGAATCTTATTGGTCTTACCATTTGAAAGAAACTTTTTTTCTCTTTGTTTCTATTTACCAAAAAAGGAGACACATTTGCAAAAGTATCAGAACTTTACATCCGATTCCTGTGAGAATTGTGATGAATCCGAATTTTCAAAGTTCAGATCAACAGTAAACAAAAGTTTCTCTTTTTCTATCACTTTTTTTTACCATTTATCGTTCATTTGGTTCGCATTTTTTTATTCCCATTTCAGTTCTGACATTTTCCTTGGATTATTTTGCTATTTTGTTACTCGTTGAGTTTCTTTTTCCTGGTTGGTGAATTGCTGATCTTCCTGTGTTAATACTTTCAGAATTCAAGTATTATGATTACGTTGCATGTTTATGTAAATTAAATTGCAATGGTAATTGTAGATTTACATGAGGCAAATCGTTAACCATCACGAAAAGTTCAAGATTCACTCGAAACGATTAGGAAAATGTAAGATTATCCCATCTTAAATGTAGACTCATATTCAACTTCAAGAACAGTTATCTAAATGGAACCACGTTGGGTCATTCATATGAAGCATCTAACGGATAATTTTTGTCAATTTCTCAAGATTTACTACTCTTATTCACCCTCAATATCGTGATAAATTACTGAATCAAGTTAAGATCAGCTGATTGGGGAAAACTTTATCTGATCAATCACATTGGAGACAACCAAAAATCTGGCTCCATCTGATGAATCTCAATGATACTCAAGAATAACAATCAAATCAATCTTCATGAGATTCATGATGAAAAACGTTTAATAATTAATGTGCTACATTAGACTTAATCAGATTAACGATTAACTTTTGATTGGAGTATTATTTTGATTACAATACGAATAAAATAATCTGTACATTCAGGGTATTAATATATATTACAATGAGTTGGAAATCGTTGAGCTCATGAAATGTTTCGCATCTCAAATTGAACTGGTGAACCTGAAGAATCAACTTCCTCATAGATTTGATCTAAACTTTTGGTATTTCCTAAAATAATATCATAGACTTTATTACTCGCAGAGATTGATTCATTAGGTTGATACGTTTTCTTTGTCCTCATTAAGCTTCGAGCAACAAAAACCATTGGGAAAAGTAACATGATCGCAGCGACAACTGTACCAATTATAATGTGAGAGTCTGTAAATAAAATCAATTTGTATTAATGAGTAAGCAATAGTTAATCAAAGTTTTATATCCACAATCAACTTACTTTGCTTGATTATGTACATAATTGTGTTAGCTGTTAACACGGAGGCTGAACGATTTTCTGAATGATTCGTTGATTCAGTTGATGGTTTTATGGTTGGTTCATTGATTGTTGTCGATTCAATGGTTCGAGTTGTTGATTCTTGTCGGGTTGTTGAAGGTTTTGTTGTTGGTGCTGGTGGTGGTGTTGTTGTCTCTACATCACTTGAACATTTACCTTGTGTAAACTTAATATCGTCTATTGCAATATCACCTGATTGATTTTCCTTGCTGGAGGCAATGATTTGTACTTTAAATGGATTGATTTGTCTAATTGTCTTCTCAACTGTTTGCCATTCGTTTGTACCATGATCAGGTAAAATAAATAATTCGTTAGTTTTATCGGTAAGAGTATCGAGGATTTTGACTGAGATTTTAGTGTCACTCAAGGTACCAGAAGTGAATAGGTAATTGAATGAAATACAATAAGGTGAGGTGAATGTTAACCTGATACTTTCTAGTGTCGATATTTGTCCATTGATCAAATCAGCTGCTCGAACAAATATAAACCATTTTCTTGAATCGAAGTTCATTTTATCAGCAAGTGAATTATCAGTTGATGGAGTGACACCCAAGTTACGTCTCCATTTAATGACATTTTTACTCTGCCAACCACATGAATCATATTCGAAGTCACAATTACCCGGAGGTTTACAGGGTTCGTTGTAAATTGTCACATCATCGATTGCGGTTGTATCGAAAGATGATTCTAAAGGTCCAGCTTGAATTTCAACTCCATAATCGCCTCCAGTCATAACTGAGGTTCGATAATAAGACCAAATATTGGCCAATTCATGATTTGGAACAATTTCTGAAGCGGAAATTTCCTCTTTTTCCATTGAGCTAACCACAAGATCTGAAGTTAAATTGAATGTGTGCAAATACCAGAAAGATAGACATTTATCCTTCGCTTCATCGTTATTGGCCTTAAGTACCAAACTTGATGAACGAGAGCCATAGTTTCTTAGATAGTATTCACGATTCAGACCATCGGCTGAAGGAACTTGCTGCTTTTCAACAATCGACCAACCATCATTTATCCAATCACAAGTTCCAGTTGAAAAGTCACACGACGATTGATGTTCCTTACACGATCCCGTTGAAAGAGCGAGATTATCAATAGAGACTACTGTGTCTTCTGAGTTGGCACTCAATTCAATTTGGAAAATCAAACGGAATTCGCTGACACCCTTAATTGTGACACTACCATGATTCCAACCATAATTGGGTTCACCGTTCTTCATATAAAGAGTTCGTAATATTGAGCCGTCGTTGATTATCAGCATAAATTTAGTCTCATCGAAAGCCAATAGACGGTAATCGAAAGAAAAACAGAATATATCAGTCGCATATTGCCAGGGTGAGGTCAAAGTTTGCATCGATCGAGTAGTAAGATCATTTGAGATGTCGAGATTAAGGAAATTGGGATGATCTTTATTACTATAAGAACCGAAGCCGAATTTGTGATCATCTTGATGACTAGTGTTCGTCGTTAGACTCCAAGAAAGTCCTTTGGAACCCGAATCAGTCCAACCACAGGAGTTCTCATCGAAGAGACAGTTAAATGAGTCCAAATTAACTTTTCCAGGGTCACAATGTGACATCTCGAAATCTGATAAGCCTGAAGAGGTCAAGAATGTATCTGAAGGTGGAGTGTCAAGAACGAATTGGAGATAATGACCAAAGGTGAGAGAAGGTAATTCTATTAGACCCTCGAGCCATTCATTTGAATCTGATGATGAATGATGTTTAAGCTCTTCGATAACTTTTGATACAGCAGAATTTTCCTGTCTTATTCTCAGTGTTAGCTTGGATTCTCCGGATAAATGATATTTGAATTTGAAGACACAAATCGAACTTGTTTTCCCCAACAAGGGTGATCTTATAGCCGCTGATCCCGCCAATGATGAGCCCGTTGCCACGAGTAAATTATTAGGTGCTTTTATCTCATTAGAAAAACCTTCTTGTTGTGCTGTTGAAAGATTCATTGGAATCCATTGGTTAGAACCTTCGTTGATCCAATTACAAAGATTATTATTATCGAAAGTACAAGAGCCACAATATTTTTCATCTTCACCATCAGAACAGTCGGAGATATAGTTACATGAATCTCAATAGGAATACATTTACCATCGATTTTACAATGAAATTCATTTCCCTTGCAATACTTTTCAGGTTCAGGTTCGGGCTTAGGTCCAGGCGATGGTTCAACTGGTTTAATACCATAACAACCTTCGTTGAATGTGATATCATCAAGAGCGATATAACTATATGATGAAGGATATTTAGAATCTCCGATGAATTTAACTTGAAATGGTGGCTCAATAATTTTAGATTCCAAGGGAATTGAAATCTTTTTGAAACCAAAATCAGATGGTTGGCTGATCGTTTGAAGATAAACTTCATTTTCAGAGTTCGCAAGGAAAACTTTGAGTTGGAATAATGAAGAAGACAAATAATAATAAAAAGTGATGATACAATTTTCAGTTGAATTAAGTTGAGGTCCAATAAATGGCTCAGTTGCACCAAGTGAAATCGCTATTGCAGTTACATAAGCAAATGAACCATCAGGTAGTCTTCTTGAGTGATCGAGTGTTGGCTTATTGGAGACAAGCCCATTACCTGAAGAGACTGACCATAGATTTTTACTATCAGGGCTTATTCCATTGAACCATGGGGATAATATTCCATTTTCAAAAGAATAAACTTGATTATTACAATTATCTTCATCTTCTCCTGAACGACAATCTAAAGTAGAATCACAAACTGAACTGGACAATAGACGTTGACCATCAGAACAGACGAAAATTTTTGGATCTTCTAAATCAGTTGACTTGAAATCGCAATCAACAAATCTAACATAATCAATGGAAAACGGTTGATATTCAAATACTCGGTAAGAAGTTGTTCCCTTAAAGACAAGTTGAAATTCATTTCGAATTCTTCCAAGTTCAATTGTGACCTGATTCCAACCAGAATGCTCAATTGCTATCGAACTGTCCCAAATTTGGATTTCTTTTGAATTCATTGAAAGATAAACAACCAACAAATCAGCTGAATGTTTAACATAATTAAAGTTAATCTTGCAAGATGATGAAGTCTCTTGAATAGGTGGACTCGCGATACTACTAGTAGCCTCAATGCCAAAGGTCAGTCGATTTTGCTCCAATTCAATGTAATTGTTTCTAACCTTCCAATTTGCTGCAAAAGCATTTATACTTCCATATCCACAAGCATCGGAATCAAACTCACAACCACCACAATTGATTTCATCTTCACCTTTAGGACAATCTTTCTTGTAATCGCATTGATAATAACCATGAATTTTGGTTGCATCGGAACAGGTGAAAAATGTATCACCCGTTGAACATGAGCCAACCTGAATAGATAAATCGTCAAGAGCTAATAATCCCTTAGACGATGAGACAATGTACACTCGAGCCATTCGTGATGGACTTGGTCGAAGTTGAATGGTCAAACTAGCCTCTGTCCAGGTTCTCATTTCCTTAGCATCAAGAGTCTTGAAAATATAAGCTTTATCCTCTTGTTGTTCAACCAATATTTCAATGTTATTTTCTTCACCAGCATAAGCAAATTTTAGACAGAGTGTTGGTTCATTAGTCCCAAGATAGATCAAAGGAGAAGCCATTATCGTCCGATGATCTTCCATAGATGATAAAAACCCATAAACACCATCAGATGTACCAAGAGTGTGATCTTTTCTTGGGTAGCCAAGTGTCTTAGCGTTTTCAGCTGTGCTAGTTAATATTATGTTTGCAACTTTATATCCAATATCGAGACCTTCGACATTCAAAGTTGTCCCTAAGTCCAGATTAGTCCAATGGAACAAATTGTCAAAGTTATGAACTCCTGATGAAATACACTCTCCTTGTGATACTTTTAAATCATCGATGGCAATTAAACCGGAAGATCCAACTGAATAAGAACCACCAAAGACAATGTCTGACTCGAGATTAACTGAGTTAACCTGAAATAAAACTTGAAACCAATTTGGACCAAAACTGCCATCATAAATGACCAATGGATCAGCTAAAAGGTCAATTTCCTCTCGTTCCGTTTTCCAAATGCTCAAACTGTGTTCACCTTTAATCATATATGCAAATGAGATACAATAACTGTCCTCTTTTCTTAAATTAGCCAAGTAAAAGTAAGAAGTTGAATTAACTTTTGACGTCGGATTCAAATCAAGAATCAATGATTTTCCATTCAAGGTATTTGTTGATTTATCGACAATCGGTGTTGACAAAGATGAACCTTTCTCGATCCGCCAATTGTAAAATGGTGAAGTGACAACATCAACACCACAATCAGTGCCATCGTCAAAGGTACAAGTCTCATCGATAACATGATCCTGATAACATGGACCTTTGAAAATTGTCATCTCTTCGAGAGCAACCAAACCCTCTGAACTTTCAGCGATAATATTGATGGAATAATTGTTATTAGAATGGTAACTTGCTTGTAAAATCTTCCAATGATTAGGATAATCACAAGATCGGTCCAATATTGGAGTCCATTTGCCGGAAGATGAATCAATTAAACTGATAAAGATTCGACTATTACTGAGAGATGTGCACCACGACCAAATAGAAAAGCAATAAGATCCACTCTCAAGTTGTTTCGATTCAATTTTCGCCTGTTTAACACCAACGATGTCCCCATAAAGTGAGATGTAATTACCAGAGATGTCGCCGAACGGATCAGCCCGGGGATAACCTCGATAGTTATCTTTTAGTGTATTGCTATATTTTTTTATCTCCGCTGTTTTCCATATTACCCAATTGGTTTTGTCGTTGAAATTTTCTCGAAGGTAAATATTGGGCTCATCTGGTTTGATCTGTGGATCACAAACACCATCAACTAATTTAATATCATCGAAACCGGCGAACAGTTTAGATTCAGCAATTAGGCTGAATTCAATTTGATAAGGATCAGAAACCGTGTATTCGACTTGTGACCATTGTCCGAAAATGACCGCTGGTTCGTACTTTATTCTGGATGAGCCTTCAGCCGTTAGAACGTTAATTTCAAACAAATAGTTGGCGATCGCTTTGGAATCGATTGAATCAATTAAATATCGTAATGATAAACAGGCGACATTAGTTTTAGGAACAATTTGACTGACGAATTTATAATTAACTGATTTATCTTCAACGGGTGTATCAGTGTAGAGGAAAAAGTTATCTTGATCAGCTGATGTTATCGAGTAATTCAGAGCTTGACTATTAGATAAACGCCCGAAACCAACGAGCAACGGCCCTGACATTATGTTCATGTGACAGTTAATATTATCGAATGTACAATCAATGGTACTTTTACATGGGCTTGGACTAACTCGAAGATCATCAATAGCGATCTGAGTTAGAACTCCGTCTGATTGTTTGTGAGCAGTAATCAAGATATCAAAGTTATCAGGTTCGTCTTTTAAATCAATTTCAATGGGCAACCATTTAGATTCAGCTTTGATTGAACTTGAAGTCCAGATAAACTCCGTATCGGATTGATTGCCTCTCGAAATGCTGACCTCTACAAGATCAGAATCTTGATGTGGTTTGGCTAAATTGAAGGTTAAACATTTTGCATTATTCGAACTCATCTTGACGTTTGTGGCCAGTATACTTTTACTATCTTTCTGACCATCATTAGGTGTTCTTAGATATTTTCCTGAGTCCGTTAAGGTTGTTGTGTCTACAACTTTCACCGAATCTCTTGATTTACCATCCGAAATATACCAGGCAAAGTTACTTCGATAATCTGGTTCGATAGTCCAAAAGCATGAAGATAAATCTTCGAAATCACAAAAATCTTCATAATCACATGAACCTGGTGTGACCTTAATGGGACCAATAGCAATGTTTGGGGTTGTAGCTACGAAAGCGATTCGGACTTTCACCTTTTTCTTTGGGTCAAAATGATATTTACCAATGGACCAGTCATCAAATTGTGAACCTTGCCTCTTCCAAACATCATCATCAACCTCAATCCATTGAGACTTTGACCCATTATCATCAATCAGCCTTAGGTTGACCAACACTTGACCCGAACATATAATATCCGAATGAGAAGCAAAAAGGACCAACATCTTCCTCTATTATGGGTGACACCAGTTGATGGAAATGGTTGACATTATCTTCACCAACATAAACATAACCTCCTGCAAAGATTTGGAAAGTTAATTAAATCAAAATCAATCATTAAGCAAACTAATTAATCAATCAACTCACCACTTAGAGAGGCTTCAATTGGTTTACCAAAGGAAACATCATTATAATCACCAAGTAGCCAACTATTGGTATCATTTAACCAATCACATAATCCATCGGTAAATTGACATTCTAATCCTTTGATACCAGTAGCAAATCCATCTATTAATTGTTAGAAATTAATTAGCAACAGTTACAATTAGAGTTTTAATTCATCATTGGTTTGTGTGTTATTATTGTAACAATCAAATGACTTTGAGTTGTACTTGAAAATTTGATTCAATACTAATGATTAGATTATAATGAAATCATGAGATTGATTTTCTATCAAATTAAAATTAATTCAGATTCATTGACACTGATTAAAGCACTTGATTAGTAGGAAAAAAATTAAATTGAATCTTGATTATTAATCAAAGATTAGATTAGCTACTGTAGTGTTTAACTGTGATATTGATTTTTTACTGATTAGTTTTGATAACCTTAATTGTTACGAGATTAGGAAAGTAATGAAAACAAAAGAAAACAATCAATAACTAATATCATAATCTAATTTAATTGTTGGTTGTTAATTGTAATTATCTTGAAATCAGCAACTATGAATATATTGAACAAAACAATTGCAACAGATTCAAACCTGAAAATCATTTGTTTTTGTAACAATTAAGCTTACTAGAGACAATTAAGAGTGACAATAATCAAATTTTAAACACAATTTGTCGCAATTATTAATAATAAAGACATTGGCTTACCTTTGATTCCGATGGTTAAAACAATTAGCAAATTAATAATAATAGGAGATAATCCAAACAAATTGGTTGATAATTAGTCAACCAATTAATAGTAAAAGTTAACAACAATTAATAACTATGATGGTACCTCTTGTGTACCTGATTAGTTTTGATTTTTTTTTTCATTGATTAACAATCGATGACGATTTATGTAAATTAATTGTTGATTTCAACAAAATTATTCAATTTCTAGTGGGGAAAGAGATATTTTGATAAAATTTTCCTCTCTAATCAAAGTTTAATTGTTACTTTTTCCAATCTTTTCTATCTGAAAATTGTATAAAAATCGTAGTATCTGAACGAAGGTAAACTCGAACAGTCCATTTTTCGTGAAAAATCAAGAGAGGGAAGAAAAAACGCGCGAAATTTGGCTAATCAATGAGAGAATCAGAATTCTATTGATAAAATTTCTGGTCATTTTCTGTAATCGGAGTCTCTGAATTTCTGAGGTATGAATGTTCAGAATTGAGTTTGATCCTCTTGATCTTTAGCTTTTGCCTGATTTACCTGTTTCTTTAAGGTACACAATTGAAATTAATTTGATTGTACAAGTTTTGATTGAATTTTAAAATTTATTGATCGATAAGTTCAATGGAAGCTTTTACTTCTGAATGACGTGCTTGTTGATCAATTTAGCTGATTATTGTTTAGCTTGACTAATTTGAATCTTTTACAATGATGAGAAGGTTAATTGTAACAAATTTGACCTAATTAGCTTGATCATGATTCACTTTTAGCTAAAAAATATTTTAAATTCATTTGTTGTTCAGTTTTTTTACTCAAACGTTAGATTATTATTGGCTTTTACTTGAATGACGTGCTTGTTGATCAATTTAGCTGATTATTGTTTAGCTTGACTAATTTGAATCTTTTACAATGATGAGAAGGTTAATTGTAACAAATTTGACCTAATTAGCTTGATCATGATTCACTTTTAGCTAAAAAATATTTTAAATTCATTTGTTGTTCAGTTTTTTTACTCAAACGTTAGATTATTATTGTTAGATTTCATATGTTACATGTGAAGGGCGTTAATTGTAGACAACTATTAATTAATCAATTTCAATGGGCAACCATTTAGATTCAGCTTTGATTGAACTTGAAGTCCAGATAAACTCCGTATCGGATTGATTGCCTCTCGAAATGCTGACCTCTACAAGATCAGAATCTTGATGTGGTTTGGCTAAATTGAAGGTTAAACATTTTGCATTATTCGAACTCATCTTGACGTTTGTGGCCAGTATACTTTTACTATCTTTCTGACCATCATTAGGTGTTCTTAGATATTTTCCTGAGTCCGTTAAGGTTGTTGTGTCTACAACTTTCACCGAATCTCTTGATTTACCATCCGAAATATACCAGGCAAAGTTACTTCGATAATCTGGTTCGATAGTCCAAAAGCATGAAGATAAATCTTCGAAATCACAAAAATCTTCATAATCACATGAACCTGGTGTGACCTTAATGGGACCAATAGCAATGTTTGGGGTTGTAGCTACGAAAGCGATTCGGACTTTCACCTTTTTCTTTGGGTCAAAATGATATTTACCAATGGACCAGTCATCAAATTGTGAACCTTGCCTCTTCCAAACATCATCATCAACCTCAATCCATTGAGACTTTGACCCATTATCATCAATCAGCCTTAGGGAAAGTTGACCAACACTTGACCCGAACATATAATATCCGAATGAGAAGCAAAAAGGACCAACATCTTCCTCTATTATGGGTGACACCAGTTGATGGAAATGGTTGACATTATCTTCACCAACATAAACATAACCTCCTGCAAAGATTTGGAAAGTTAATTAAATCAAAATCAATCATTAAACAAACTAATTAATCAATCAACTCACCACTCAAAGAGGCTTCAATTGGTTTACCAAAGGAAACATCATTATAATCACCAAGTAGCCAACTATTGGTATCATTTAACCAATCACATAATCCATCGGTAAATTGACATTCTAATCCTTTGATACCAGTAGCAAATCCATCTATTAATTGTTAGAAATTAATTAGCAACAGTTACAATTAGAGTTTTAATTCATCATTGGTTTGTGTGTTATTATTGTAACAATCAAATGACTTTGAGTTGTACTTGAAAATTTGATTCAATACTAATGATTAGATTATAATGAAATCATGAGATTGATTTTCTATCAAATTAAAATTAATTCAGATTCATTGACACTGATTAAAGCACTTGATTAGGAAAAAAATTAAATTAAATCTTGATTATTAATCAAAGATTAGATTAGCTACTGTAGTGTTTAACTGTGATATTGATTTTTTACTGATTAGTTTTGATAACCTTAATTGTTACGAGATTAGGAAAGTAATGAAAACAAGATAAACAAAAGAAAACAATCAATAACTAATAACATAATCTAATTTAATTGTTGGTTGTTAATTGTAATTATCTTGAAATCAGCAACTATGAATATATTGATTAAAACAATTGTAACAGATTCAAACCTGAAAATCATTTGTTTTTGTAACAATTAAGCTTACTAGAGACAATTAAGAGTGACAATAATCAAATTGAATTCGCGCACTTGGAAGCAAAAGAATAGCAAAGTGAACAAAAACGCTCAAAAACGATTCGAAACCTGTATTGGTACCAACAAATCTCACCGAGGTGTAGGATTCAACCATTTACCATCATGTGTACATGGACAAATTTCAAGAGCTGGAACATCGAATATTCAAAAAAAACATGTGACAATTGCGGATAACACACAACACGGCATAAAATCCAAGTCGATTCATGATTTATTGGACATTTCGACATCAGTTCGTAGGAACTTACCTGAACAACGACAATTAACCAGCTCAGAAAAGGATAATAATCCTTTGTCTCCATCCAATAGTAAACCAAGCGGATTATTTAATTCCTCTGTTTTTGAGCAATTGATTGAGGATAATTTTGTTAAAATTAATCTTGAAGATGAACTTTTAGCTCTTGGTATTGGATTACGACAATTTGAGCACAACAAATATCAAGAGTTGAGACAAGTAGTGAATATGTTCAATGAGACACAACCAGCAATTTCCAATGGTAATCAATCAAATAGTATCTTGAAATTGACCATTGAAAGGATCCAAAGTCATACAGAGAAATGGATTAAATCATTAAAGTTTATTTCATCTTTTAACAATATTTGTCTGGATGATCAAGTTTTGTGTATTAAATCACAATTCGTTAATCTGTGTATTGTCAGTAGTCTTGGGATCATTAATCCAGAGACAAAATCGATTCAGGTAAAATTCAAACTCGAATTCAAATTAAGAATCAGATAAAGTTGACTCTCATAGGATATATTCATGATTCAATAATTAAATCCTATTCTTATTACAGAGAAATGGAATCAACTTCAGTATGGAAAAATGTCCAATGATGAGGGATCAAAGATTCATCAACTTATTATCCTCAATGGATTCTAATCTTCGTATGGATCCAATAATTAACATTCTTCTTGTATTAATCCATCTCTTTAACTCCTCTACACCAAATCTAACTTCTAATTACAATATAAGGTAAATAGAAATTCATATCGATTATTATTATTGACCTAATTCATTTTCATTTTCTCTTAGAAAGGAATACATAATTACCGTTCATTTACTACAAAAGTATCTTGAAGAGGTTCGAGGCTTATCCCCTCATCAGGCCAATCTTGAAATATCAAAGCTCATTGGTTCCTTAAACAATTTTCTCATTATATTCAAGGGCAAACAAAAAGTTATTTCAGTTTCACTGAAAACAATTAAACGTCAGTCGCAGTTATTGTCGGAGATTTTAGAAATAATCGATTAATATTGTTAGGAGCATCAATCCTTAAAGATTAAGTAAAATCTGTTTCATTCATGATAATTTTTGTCTCTATCACTTTTGCCAGGTCAGTTTTCATTTATTTTCCTTTCATAATTAGTTGGTGGAAGTATTTTATACCAATAGATACAAATTATAAATCTCTATCCAAATATATATAAAGAATAAGTTTTGTATAATCATCCATAAAGATCATCACAAAAAGATACCTGTCCCTAAATTTATTGCCACCACATCTATCATGTAATAGACTGAAATTATCAAGGTTGGATTAAGTGATATCAAGATATACATATAACAAATTAGTAGCAGATCATAAAAGTTTTGATAATAAATTGAACTTAGTAAACAAACCGCTGATATTGATACACTTAAAAAGAAATCAAGTCGACTAACAAAGGTAATATTATAGCTTTTTTCAGAGTGAATATTGCAGTCGAAAATTTTCTTATATAAAATAGCTTAATGTCGGAGGTTAACTTTAGTATATTACTTGTTTGCTGGTTGTTCATAGTTCTCGTTGTTTTCTTAGCAAAGTGAAGAAAGTGTGTTTTTAAGGTTTATTCCTATTAAATTACAACGGTAGAAATTGAGAAATGAGTTCTAATAAGTTTGAATCGAAAGGTGACAACTCAAAATCCTTGAATCTTTTCAGCGATAAGTGTTCATGTAATTGTCACCATGATCAAGTGAATAGACATCTCGTTGGAAAGGTACAAGATGAACCAATTAGAGGAAATCCTTTGAAAACCTCGAAAAGTCCAACAAATGTGACAGTTATTGATCTTACCGAATCAGATGATTTGGAGGAAACAAATTTATCGTCATCGCCAATTAAATCACGGAAACTTGGCCACTCAAAAAGTGATCGTAATCGTGTCAGCTCATACAATTCCAACATTTTCGCTAAATTGGTGGAGGACAATTTTCTAACAATCAGCTTTCATGATGAAGTTTTAGCTCTTGGAATCGAAATGAGACAGTTCGAACAGCAAAAGTTTGAAGAGCTAAATCAATTTGTTGATCAATTTAATGAAAGGAAAACAGTGGAAATCATTCAGCTCAAAGAATACAAGTTTATTATGGATCATCTTCACAATCAGGAGACAAATTGGATTCTATCATTGAAAAAAGTCTCCTCGTTCAGAAATATCTGCGTCGATGATCAAATTTCGTGCCTGAAAATAAATTACGTCGACTTGTACATAATCAGAAGCTTACTTAGTCTCCATCTAAAGGTAATATAAGCGAATCAAGTTAATCATTTCAATTGAAGATCAATCGTTTACACCATTAATTGTTGATTGTCTTTCAGATGAATAGGATCGACTTGACCAATAGAATGAGTAAATGTCCATTATTTACGAATCCTCTATTTAATCGACTATTATCATCTATGAATAAACTTTTTCGGTCGGATCCGGTTGTCAATTTACTTATTGTATTCATCTTCATGTTTGATGCCAACATGCCCGAGTTAAAGTCACATTACACAGTCAGGTAAATCGAACAAATTTATTTTCAATAATTCGATAAACTGTTCATTAATTTACTGTTCTAATTTAGAAAGGAATATATTGTGACCGTTCACTTATTGCAAAAGTATTTGGAGCAAAATGGAATGACCATAGAACAAGCTAATCAGGAAATCAAGAACTTCATTTATGAGATGAGCAATTTTCTCAAATTGTTCAATGGAAGACAAAAAGTTCTGGTCACTACAAAGTGCAAAATGTTCCATTCCCAATTGATATCAGAACTTTTAGGAATACAAGTGAATTGACCTTTCGTTTATCTATTGATACAAAATAATCTAATAGATTCTAGATAAATACTAATAATTGTTTCAAGTTTTCAACTTGAAAATATCTCGAAACATGATAATTTAGTAGTGTAACAAGAGATGGCGATGGTAATTGTAATCGTGCCTTTGATAATTAATGATAATTAATGATAATTGTATCAATAAATGTGTGAGACTTAGTGTTTGTTAGATTGTAATTCATTAATTAATCGCTATTATCAATATAAACCAGCGACGTGTCAGTCAACATAGAGCCATTTACAGCACCAATTTGATTGACCTTTATAGTTATCGAGATAATTTTGATGATGAACCTCACTTGTTTAAGGCCACCTGATAGATCATTAATTATTATTGATTAATCGTAATTATGTATTGTTTATGTTGTAAGAATCGTTGATGTTTACTGAATTGAGATTCAACTCTAATTAATTTTTATTATTTAATTGTAATGGTTTAAGTATAAATTGTAACAATTAGATGATTAATTATTATCCTGACAATTTAGTAATTGTCTAGTCTCAGTTTAAACTGGATTAGTTAATTGTGATTAAGCAATCAAATTAATAATTAAGATTTTATAACGAAAACAAATGATTAATATTCTAATAAATTTAGTAAATGATTAAGTTAAATGATTAACAATTAACATAATCCTCAACACCCTCTCTTGTTGATCATTTAAATTAATTTTTCATTAAAATTGAATCAGTTAATTTCCTAAATCTTGGGCCAGGTAATGGTTTAGTCATCAAATCAGCTAAATTGAATTCAGTTTGAACATAATTCAATTCAAATAAACCACTTGCAACATGATCTCTGATAAAATGATGCTTAAAGTCAATGTGTTTGGTACGAGAATGAAACACTGGATTCTTGGCTAGTTTAATTGCGCCTTGATTATCACAATTAATAATAATTGGCAATTCGATTTGATAACCAAGTTCATTAATAAACATTTGCAACCAAATAGCTTCTTTACCAGCTTCAGATTCAGCCATGTACTCAGCTTCAGTGGTGGACAATGCAACCGTTTGTTGCTTTCTGGTTGACCAAGAGATCAAATTATCATTCAAATAGAACAAGTATCCACTTGTTGATTTTCTATCTTCATAATTTCCACCCCAATCAGCATCAACATAACATGTTAGTTTCAATAAATCACCATTATGATCAGAATCAATATGAACACCATATTTAGAGGTTCCTTTAAGATACCTGAGTACCCGTTTAGCTGCAGTCATGTGTTCATCAGAGGGATTTTGATTGAACTGAGCTAAAGTACTTGTACAAATAGCAAGATCAGGTCGAGTACAGGTAACTAAATAGTGTAATGATCCAACAATTTGTTGATATTTTGATTTCAAATCAACATCACCTTCAGTTTCATTTTTAATTAACTTGGTATTGGGATCAATTGGTGTAACGACTGATTTACAATCAGTCATATTGAATTTTGCAAGTATTTCATTAATATATTTTGATTGATTCAAGTCTATTGATTGTTCATCAATATTATTAATAATATTAATACCAAGAAAATAATCAAAATTTTCATTAATTTTCACTTGAATTTTCTCCAATTTTCTTTATGAGATCATCAATAAATTGTTCGTCGTTTGCTGATATAATCAAATCATCAACATAAAGAATAATAAATGATTTGATTTTACCATTTGAATAATAATATATACAATTATCAGCATTGCATTTGATGAAATCATTTGATCTGAAAAAGTTATCAATTTCTTGATTCCAATTGTGAGAAGCTTGTTTAAGTCCATACAGACTTCGATTTAATTTACAAACTCTCCCACTTCCATCATCAAATCCTTCAGGTTGTTTCATGTACAAATTTTCAGTAATAATACCGTTTAAAAATGCCGTCTTAATGTCCAATTGTTTGATAACCATTTTGTTTATCAATGATAATTTCATTATCAATCGCATTGAAGTTAATTTTGAAACAGGAGCAAAAGTTTCATGATAATCGATATTTTCAGTCTGAGTATAACCCTTTGCTACAAGTCTAGCTTTGTATCGGTCAACACTACCATCACCATGGTACTTGATACAATATACCCACTTATTACCGATCAACTTCATTTCATCAGTTCGATCAACTAATGTCCATGTTTGTTTATCTTTCAATGATTCTAATTCTTGAACAGTCGCTTTCTTCCACTCACTAGCATCATCTCTTTCCATTGCTTCTGAGAAAGTTCTTGGAAAATTTTGTTCAGTTTTAGCGACATTACTTTGATCAATTTCATGAATTTCACTTATATAATTTTCAATAAACTCGACATCATTTGAAATTGATACTTTGTTGTCGATTGGATCATAAACTTTGTAACCTTTGTGATCATCTGAATAACCAATGAAAATACTTTCCTTGGTTTTATCACCAAACTTATCTCGAAATATTTTCGGTATATGAACAAAACATTTACAACCAAAAACTTTCAATCGATTATAATCAAATTTTCTCCCAGTCCAAAGATCGAATGGGACTTTGTAATCGATACATGAACAAGGTCTTAAATTAAGAATATAATTAGCGGTATGAGCCGCTTCGGCCCAGAACTTTTGATCCAACTTAGATTCATGTAACAAACATCGAACAATTTCTTGTATGGTTCGATTTAATCGTTCAGCCTTACCATTTTGCTCTGGTGTGTAGGGACAAGATTTTTCATGCTTAATACCCTTTGAACTCAGAAATTCAGTGACTTTATTACTTGTATTCTCACGAGCACCATCACTTCTTATTATTTTTACTTTCTTATTTGTTTGATTTTCAACGAAATTAACAAATCTGATCAATATTTCAGGAACTTCTTTCCTTTCTCTCATGAAATAAATGAAAGAGTAATGGGAATAATCATCAAGAAATACAATATAATAATAATTTCCACCGAGAGATTCAAATTTCATTGGACCACAAACATCAAAATGAACTAAATCAAGTTTATCAATTGATTGTGTTGATGATTCAGGATAAGATTTACGATTCTGTTTACCAAATAAACAGTCAACACATTTAATATTATTAATATTAATTTTCTTGATTCGTAAATTATTTTGATCAACAAATTTAGTTAGTCCAGTTTGACCAACGTGGCCTAATCGGCGATGCCAAATCATTAGCTCAGTATTTTGATCAACACTTTGATCAGAATTTTCATCTTCATCAACATTATCATGTTTAAGTTGATCGTCACATGAATAAACATAGTTAATCAGTTCAGTTTTTATCTTAAAAACACCAGAATCTTTCAAGGCTTTGAAAATAATATCATTACCAAAATAAGCAGTAACTTCATCTTGTCTGAAAATAACATCAATACCTTTACTTGTAACCTTAGCAACCGAAATCAAATTTTGTCTCAGTTCTGGTACAAAAAGTACACCAGTTAATTTAAGATTTTTATTCGTAACTGTATCTTTGATCATAATATTACCTTCACCAACGACATCGACCTTCTTACCATTCGCAATAGTAACTGATTTACCTTCGATTGGTTCAAAATCTTCAAAATAATCACGAACAAAACACATATGATTAGTAGCACCAGAATCAACTAACCAATTTTCATCATTAACATTATCATGATTAGCTAATAAAGCTTGATAATCAACACAATTTACTTTTGACTTATTATTATTATTAATAATTTTATCATCTTTTCCGTTTTGATCTTCATTTGTCTTTCTCTTGAAACAATTTTCAGCTTTATGTCCAAATTTGTGACAAAAGTTACAATTTCCTTTGAATTTGTATTTCTTTCTTTTCTCTGTAACATTTAAAGCAGAAATAGTTCCCGAATTATCTTCACCTTTACAAGAAAATTGTCGTTCATATTCTTCTAATATGCGACCACAGGCAAATTCAAAGTCAATTTTATCTTTTTGTGCTTCTAAAGCGACGATCAAATTTTCATAATTTTTCGGTAAACTTGAGAATAGTACCAAGATCAACATCGTTTTGTCAACTTTATAACCAACTGATTCCAATTGAGTTCGCAACTCAATTAATTGATTAATATGAGATTGCATCTCATCCTTGGGATTGTACTTCAGGAAGACTAAACGTTTCCAAATTATCATTTGCTTGGTTAAACAGTGACGTTCAAAAGATTCACAAATTGATTTCCAAGCTGAAACAACATTAGCTTCCGTTTTCAAAATACCCAAATATTGATCTGAAACATTTAAAGCGATAAGTCTGAATGCCTTATCTGATCTCTTAATGAAATCTTTTTCTTGTTACTTTCATTTTCACGACCAATGACAATATCATGAAGATCATTTTCTTTCAAAATAAGTTCCATTTTGAACTTCCAATTTGACCAATTCTTTGATGTTAATTTTTCGATACAATTTACCTTTGAATCAAGTTCCATTTTCAGCAAATTAACTATTTAAATTAACAATTTAAATATTAATAATAATTGATTCAAATCTTTACTCTAAAAGTAAAACAGAAACAAACACCAACAATTAACTTAATAATCCAAACGCCCTGGACCCATAACCTGTTGTAAGAATCGTTGATGTTTACTGAATTGAGATTCAACTCTAATTAATTTTATTATTTAATTGTAATGGTTTAAGTATAAATTGTAACAATTAGATGATTAATTATTATCCTGACAATTTAGTAATTGTCTAGTCTCAGTTTAAACTGGATTAGTTAATTGTGATTAAGCAATCAAATTAATAATTAAGATTTTATAACGAAAACAAATGATTAATATTCTAATAAATTTAGTAAATGATTAAGTTAAATGATTAACAATTAACATAATCCTCAACAGTTTAATTGGATGCTTGATTTGAAAATATCGCTATTTTATCAATAGATACAATATTAATCTCCTTGACTATAATCTACGTGTTTACTTGAGTAATCATTACTGTAACACCCTCTTATTTAGTTGATGATTAAATGTTAATTGTTTATACATATTGTTGATCAACATCTGACCCAATTTTATTCATCTTTATTGCTGTATATATTGTTAATAATTCAATTGTGATTTCATTAAGATGTTGAAGTCACTAATTAGACTTAGATTAATTCAGCTTTAGTTTTAAGTGATGGATAAGGTTAACCAGGATTGTGATGACTCTGAACCAGAATATTTATGCGTTAAAGTGTCCAAGGAATCAACAAGTGAACCATGTAAATCTAATTCATCTCTTAATTCAGTGAAATTGAAACTCAAAGCTAAACTTCAAAGGCGAAATTTGGATAAGTCGATAACTGAAACTCCATCGAAAAGTCAATCTTCAAGAAACAAAAGTGAATCTAATTCTCAGGAAAAACTCAAGAAATCATCTAAATCCCATGAAGATAAACTGAAGAATGGAGTAATCAGCAGACCAGATAAACCATCAACTGCGAAACCTGAACAGTTCAATCATGAAAATCTCTACGTTAATTATTGCAACACTTTGAATCGATTAATAGAAGACAATTTCATCACAATGAGTTTACAAGATGAATACTTGGCTCTTGGAACTGAAATGTCTCAATTTCGCCAAACAAAATACGAGGAATTGAAACAGTTCATTGTTTCAATGAATATTGAAAATTACAATAAGAAAGTGATTCAATTGGATAACATTAAATCTACCATAGAAAACGTTGAAAACGGAACAAGAACTTGGATCAGTTCCTTGAAAAAAATCAAATCTTTCAAGAATCTTTGTGTTGATGATCAACTTTTATGCCTAAGATCACATTTTGCCGATCTGACAATTATCAATGTCCTAAGAAGCGTAGATCCAGAGGCTCGAACAGTCGAAGTAAATTAGTTCGAAGGTAAAAATATTGGAAAACTTTTAACTTTGAACTTTTTCTCGCTATTACAGACGAATGGATATACAGTCAGCATTGAAAGATGTCCATTGCTGACCAATCCTTTTTCCTTAAAATGGTATCATCAATGAATTCCAATTTACGTTTAGATCCAATAGTCAATATAATGGTTATATTAATCCATCTATTTGATGTCAATATACCAGATTTACATTCTACTTTCTCTGTCAGGTAAATGCTAATAGAATATGTTATCTAATTTATTTCAAGTTAATATCTACTTTTTGTTGTTATTATTATTGTATTAATAGAAAGGAGTATATTGTTACCATCCATTTATTGCAAAAGTATTTGGAGAGTATTGGATTTACGGTGGATCAAGCTAATCTGGAGATTAAAAATTTCCTAACTGAACTGAATACTTTCCTTAAATTATTCAATGGAAGACAAAAAGTTCTGGAAGTTGGTAGAAATCAGCTCGTTAGATCTGAGTTAATGTCATCGATTTTAGATATAAAAAGTTAATCATTTCCACTTTTTCAAACTGTAAATTGATATTTTCTCCTCAAAACAAACATTTGATAATCATTTTAATTGCTAAACAGGTGATTGTTTGTTAATTGTTTCATACAACAATCATGGCGAATAACTAAAAACACCTTATTAGGATTGACAAGAAATTCAAGAAATAGTTACATGGATACAACATAAATACGTCAAGCTTCAATTCTTGGCTAAAGTTATTCAGATGATAACAAGGTTTCCCTATTCGTAGCATTGCTAAACAGTTAATTTAATAATAACAAGTGTCTCCAACTGGAAACTTTAGCTTCTATCCTTAAGTTTTTTTTTATAAAAAAGTTCAAGGCGAAAGTACAAAGATGAAGGACGATACTGAAACTGAATCGGTCGATATAATTGCCTCACCATCGCCCCGTGGCTATATTAATGAACTTTTAGCTTTGCAAGATCCTTTGGCTACAGTTTTCATTTACGAAAATCTATTTAATCAGCTATCATCATTTCCAAGTGGACCGAATGTCTATAATTGTGAAGAAAATGTATCACCAATCTCTCATTTAGATCAACAGTGTAATCAATTGGCCTCAGGCGTTCAAATGGAAATGCAAATTGAACCAGTTTATGATTTATTGGACATTTCGACATCAGTTCGTAGGAACTTATCAGAACAACGACAATTAACCAGCTCAGAAAAGGATAATGATCCTTTGTCTCCATCCAATAGTAAACCAAGCGGATTATTTAATTCCTCTGTTTTTGAGCAATTGATTGAGGATAATTTTGTTAAAATTAATCTTGAAGATGAACTTTTAGCTCTTGGTATTGGATTACGACAATTTGAGCACAACAAATATCAAGAGTTGAGACAAGTAGTGAATATGTTCAATGAGACACAACCAGCAATTTCCAATGGTAATCAATCAAATAGTATCTTGAAATTGACCATTGAAAGGATCCAAAGTCATACAGAGAAATGGATTAAATCATTAAAGTTTATTTCATCTTTTAACAATATTTGTCTGGATGATCAAGTTTTATGTATTAAATCACAATTCGTTAATCTGTGTATTGTTAGTAGTCTTGGAATCATTAATCCAAAGACAAAATCGATTCAGGTAAAATTCATACTCGAATTCAAATTAAGAATCAGATAAAGTTGACTCTCATAGGATATATTCATGATTCAATAATTAAATACTATTCTTATTACAGAGAAATGGAATCAACATTAGTATGGGAAAATGTCCAATGATGAGGGATCAAAGATTCATCAACTTATTATCCTCAATGGATTCTAATCTTCGTATGGATCCAATAATTAACGTTCTTCTTGTATTAATCCATCTCTTTAACTCATCTACACCAAATCTAACCTCTAATTACAATATAAGGTAAATAGAAATTCATATCGATTATTATTATTGACCTAATTCATTTTCATTTTCTCTTAGAAAGGAATACATAATAACCGTTCATCTGCTACAAAAGTATCTTGAAGAGGTTCGAGGTTTATCCCCTCATCAGGCCGATTCTCAAGTATCAAAGCTCATTTGTGATCTTAACGATTTTCTATCGACTCTAAATGGACAAAAGGATTCCTTGATCCTATGAAAACTGCTCTTGTCGCAAAATCCAAATTTTATGAGGATTTTTTTTTCTAATTACAAATAATTACTATCGAACACAATTAACCATAAACAGCGTCACTTGATTACATTTTGTCCCTGTATTTATCTCATCAATCTATTATACCAATTGATGAAGACAATAGGAACCATATTTCACTAATATTGTCAATCATCGGATTGATCTACAATTGAGATAAAACTAAATCAATTGTCACTTCCATAGCCACTCATTTAATAAAACAAGTATGATTTCAATCATTATCACCATAATCTTTGATAATTTTACAGTTAAACATGATAATCAATTGTTTGATTGCCTCGTATTGACAGTTATTATTAATATCACGTTGTTACAATTGATTTCTCATTTTCTGTTATCACTTTTGATAGAAACAAGTTACTATGCATATGCAGCAAACTTGCTCACCTTAGAGAGACTTTAGAGACTTTAATTGGTGGTGATTCTCATCAGATTATCTCACAATTAATCCAACATTTTACAAAGAGATTAACAAAGTTCATATGCTAAAGGAAAACTTTACCAATTATTAAATGAATTACATATGAACGATTAAACCAAACAACCTGATGAGATTGTAATGTTATATGAAGTATCTGAAAGTCTTGAGATTAACTCATTAGTAGATTAATTTGAATAACAATTCGTTGTTATTCAACTCGAAACTTGTTAAGGCCATCGAAAAGTTGATTAATGAGGAAAAACTTTCGGCAATTAGCCTTAGAATCATCAACTAAAAAGGAAAATTGTTTGTCAACTAATTGCGAAAACTGTTCATCTTTAAGAATCATGATTCGAATACGATTTCGCTCAACAAACAGCCTCAAGGTCATTTGAAGGGTTTTTCATCAATTCTAATTTGATAATCTCTTGTGTACAAAGTTACATTGTTTAATTATTCTCAGGATAAACTCATCTGATAGTAAACAATACAATTACAATGACAACAAGATCCATTAATTGTTACGCGATTGTAGTGTAATCTAAATTTTCAACAGTTATAACTTTGTGTATGTAGATTAATATGATTACTATTATAATTTAATGACGATTGTAAAGTTAATTGTTGCATCTTTTAGTTTTCTTTTTCTGGCCAATACACATTAACTTAGTTCATTAACCCGATTAATGATTAACGTCAACTAATTTTGATGAATGAAAACTAAAAGAAAATAACAATCAACCGATTAAACTGTTTCACTTTACATCTTCAAATCTATTTCCTTCCGGAAGTTACAAGAAATAAATTAAACAATTAGCACAATTTAGTTTTCACATTCAACCTGTCCGGTTACATGGGTCAAGGGTAATATCGCTAATTTTACCCGTTAGTTAATTAATTGATGGTCAGTTAATCAATCACTGGATCATCTTCAAAATTCATTGAGAAAAATTGTTTTCCCCTGAAATCGGAAATTCCGTTTCTCATTTCAACTAATCATCAATCAAAAATCATCTAAAATTAAGATAATTGTCATGATTAACATTGATTAAATTCCCATGATTGACAATCAACAAATTATTACAAATTTTATTTAAACAACATTTCCAATCAGTCTAAATTGTTTAATCCATTAATTATTTAACCATTCACTTGATTAACTCTCATAGTGGTGAATAAACAAAAACTGATTAACTAATTTTATTTTTCTTCATCATTATAATTAAAGTTTGATTAGTTAACTTGATTATCAAGGTTTTTCCCATGTATCATATTATTTAAGACTTTACATCATTTATTTACCTGTGATTGTCCATTCACAAGTTGATTGTTGTTAATTTCTAGTGAGTGGTAACAATTAAAAGATTATTGCAATTCAGTTGATTAACTTGATGTAATTAGGTTAATATAATTAGTTAGGAGAAGAAATTAAAATAAAAAACAATCAAAGATGATGCTAAATTGTTGACCACGATTTGGAAATTGAAACAATTGTTGTTGATAAAGTTTGACAAAGTTTTTGCTCAATTCAATTCAATGATATTGTTAATTGCTGGTTGGAAGATGATTAGTTAATGATGATGATGATTAAATATCCTTGTGAAACTGGTTTATCTTTATCTTGACCCAAGAATAGCTCATGATCGTCATGATAACTACGTCCATCCTCCGATGGGCTGAAACCAAAACTTCCCGGTGGTTTTTTCGTCTCACCGAAAACTTTTACTTAAACTAATTTACTTAATGAGAAAATTTCAATCCATCATCAGTCACAATTAAGTAATCAACAGAGTTAAAATATAACCACTTCATCACAATCTAATTGTTATCATTTTCAATTGTATTAAAAAACAGTGATAGTGACCAATTGACCAACCATGCAACTGGATTATCACTTGATGTTTCTCAATTTAATCAATCTAATTATAATCAAAACTGGATTTGGATTAAGCTTTCAAAGTAAGTCTTTAATTTCTGGTTTTTCTGGTTCTCTGGTATTTTTTCATTTCCATTTGTTGGTAATAATCTTTGTTAATTTATCTCTTTTTTTTACCTGAAAATGATAATCAAGGAGTTTACAATTCGTAGCAATTAACAATCAATTGAATAGAGAAACGTAATCACAATTAAGTCTTTTGTTTGTAACAATACATTTACTAAATTGTCAACTGTTTTATTCAATGAAAGTGAGGATGTTGATTTGATATTTTTTGTTTTGTTTAATTGTTGAACTGATTAAATCAATCGGGAAATGATGAAATCGTCTACAGATAATCAAGACTATTCTGATTATCCTTGAATCATCATGTAATCAACCATATAAAATGATGTAAACATTTTGTGAAACCATTTGATTAACTGAATTTAGTTGATTGTTTGACAAAATTTGTATTTTGTTGAAAATTGAAAATTAATACAACAATATCCGGGACAATTTAGGTTTTCAGGAAAACGATCCTGGTTAATTTTCATTATAAAATTACAGTTAAAATTGATTAAGTTTTACCTTTAATTGTTGCAATTGAATTGGTTTTAAAATTAATGTTACATTTGGTTAATTGATAGTTAAATTTATATGATCCTCTTTCAGGTGATTAACTGAAGATTACTTGGTGAAAGTAAAATGAATTTGATTATCAATCAAATTACTTTAATTGTTTTGATGAATTTGATGATCCTTGTTAATCAACAATCAATTGTTTCTTCAACAGCAGATTACAATTCAGGATATTCATATGATGGAAATGACAATTCAATTGGATTAACTTCTTGTTTAACACAACCGAATAATGGTCCTGGAGTTTGTGTTCATATCTACGAATGTCCTAATTATAAGGATCTAATTTTGTCACAATCGAAGCCTAAAATATGCCACTGGTCGGGTAGAGTTCCAGTTATTTGCTGTCCAGTTGTCGATCCGCCGAAACAGCCTACACCCGAACCTGAATCTCCAATTGAAAAGGTTCGTCGTCAACGGAATCAAAGTGATTGTGGTACTCGTGTAAGTAGCTCACGGGATCGAATCGTCGGCGGTGATGTGGCCTATGAAGGTGAATTCCCATGGAATGTGGCCATTTTCATTCGTGAAATTAACGGTGATGTTGTCCACGAGTGTGGTGGTTCAATCATCTCAGATCAGTATATTCTAACGGCTGCTCATTGTTTCGACAACGCTAGTCCGTCAAACTATCTAATCGGTGTTGGATCAAATGATTTAACCTCAACAATCAAGTTAAAAGTAGATGAGATTAAATTACACCCTGATTATGATAAATACCAATTCTACAATGATATAGCTCTGATAAAGTTGACAGATAAGTTGACCTTCAATGAGACTATTCGTCCAATCTGTTTACCCTTCGATTATGCCGTTTCTCAGCCGAAATCGGCCTCATCTCAATATTCAGAGACTGTAACGATATCGGGATGGGGATTCACTGAGTTCAATGGTGAACGAAGTCGAGTATTATTGAAGGCAGATCTTAACCTGATGCCAAGAGAAATGTGCAACAAGACCTACTCGCGACTTGCGTCTCGAAAAATTTCACGAGGAATTACCGATGATTTTATATGTGCAGGAACAGCCGATGGTAAAAAGGACGCTTGCCAATCGGACTCGGGTGGACCATTGATCGCTAAATTAGAGACTGGAGATGAAGCAGAACCAGGCTGGGAATCGAAATTCGTTCAGATTGGAATCGTTTCTTTTGGTTACAAGTGTGGTGTTCGAGGTTATCCTGGTGTTTACGTTAACGTCCAAAAATATCTCAGCTGGATCGTTGAAAATATTCGTGAACCATCAGAAATTATGATTGATCAGAAATTTAATTACGAAAATATCGAAAAGTGAACCAAAAACTTTCAAATTTTCCTTTAAATTGATCTAATCATGTCTAATAATCTTAATTGAACTGACCCATTCAATTTCTATGATTTAATCTGTAGCATTGGCGGTGGAAATATGAGCCATGCCCTGAGGCTGAAACTTCATCTTTTCTCCATCAAATTTTAACCTTTTAAACAAGTGAATTAACACCAACACGATGTTGAACGAAAAGAGAATCATCATGTTATTAGTTTCTCCTTCCTTTCTGATAACATCATCAACAGAAATAAAAATGGTTCTAAATCTGTTCACTGCCAGAACTTTATCTTTAAAGGACAGAACAAAATGATTAACATGGAAAAAGATAATTTCTTTCAATTCGTTTCCATTCCAGTTTCGATCTCGTTTCTTTTCCTCTCGTCAATCTCCCACCAATCATAAAAATCTAAATTCTGTAATCATCTCTGATCTAACCAACGAAATTTGAACAACTAATAATTGTAAAAGATCAAGTTGACTTTAATCATCTAATGTAAATTTGTATTTAATTAAATTCATTTACTTTTTGTTACCAAGAAAACAAATCTCTACATTCAATTCAATTCAATTCCAGAACAATTTTCCTCTATTAATATTTGAACAAAGTTCCATCAGAACTATGAGAATTACTCAGAAAATGATAATAACAATACTTATTAACCTTTTTGACCTTAGCATTGGAATATAAACTTCCAATGGTCAACTTTTTGAACTGAAAAGAAAACGGAAAATTAGCTTAAAGAATTAACTTCATCGACATTTTCCCACAAAATTCACAATCGATAAGTTTTGTATTCTAACCAAGAGATGGCAATAGTTACTCTTTTTAAATTCCTCTTCTAATTGGCGGTTAATTGTTTCTATTTTGGAACATTTTTTTATTCTATTTTGTTTTAATCCTTTTATTTGAGTAGAAGATTCAATTGAATATCAAGTGAAAAGTCAACGGTCAGTGGTCAATGGAAGTCTGAACGATATTTTTTGCCATATTCCAACGTCCAGGGCAAATAACGAACTCGAACATGATTCGTATTCGTATAAATTGGATATTCTCTGGATGGATGATTAATATTATCTTTCTCTATTTTTCTTCCTATTACCTTGACTCAATAAATGAGAAATTATCTTGAGGGTAAGTTGACTCATCTTTACATTGAAACATTCCAATGAAATACTCATCAATTTAATTGATTACATTTTCTTTTCTATTTCTCTCTAGACTTCAAATCTTCTCAATGATGGATAATGATCACTTTTTTTTCTTCTTCTTCCTCCTCTAAACGTAGCTCATTATTTACAACTTTCTCTGTAAAAACCATCATGTTCATGATGATTAAACTGTGAATATAAACAAGAACAAGTTTCAAATAGCTGAAGATTTACTCAGATGATTTGCAGAAAAATATCAAATTGATAAGGTAAAAGATGATTAAAAGCGTGATGGTTGGTCTAGCGGAGAGAAAGAGAGACACTTTCGTGTGGCCTGGATTCGCTTCAATTACAATCACAATTCTAATCAATATCTTAACGTAAACGAGTGAAAATCTTCAGATAATCGAAGCTTCTTCTTCTTCTCTCTCTCTCTTCCTCTAATTAGTTTGAATATTAATCAAATTTTAAGAGTAAAATGTTAGTATATCCAAGAGAAAGAACGAAAAAAAAACTTATCAAATTTTCAGATTTCTTTTTATGATAAACTTTTACTCTAATTATATTGTTATAAACAGGAGATGATTGGTAAACAAATTAACCATTCCAACTACAGTAAGAAAAAAAAGGAAGGATAAATTGGTCAACAATTTAATTGAAGGAGTGTATTGATTAACAAGTAAAAAGGCATTAATCGTTGATGAGGCCATTTAAAATCATTTGTATTATATGATTTGTATTTATATTTTGTGTTGTTCTTATATTTAATTTGATTTGTTTATTTATACATTTGAAAGATGAAATTTACTGCTTTCAAATGTTTAACTGTAATTTCCTCTAATTTTAACTGTTTCTCATTTGTTTCCATCTCTTAATCCACTTTTAGGCCAATCCCATGATATTTATAAACCATCACCATGATGATGGTGATCGTTTCTCCATCAACAAGGGCCAGTATTACAATTGATCATTGCGAAGGCGTAACAATGAATATCCATTATTTTGGTTATCTCCATAAAATATATTTCAAAGTTTCCTCAATAATCATAATAATATTGCAAACCAATGTAAATATATTTCATTTTCAATAATCGTCCAGGAGTTTGTTTATATTTTCGCTGGAAAAGTTCATTGGTGTTGGAGAAAATTTCAGTTTTTTTCTCAGTTGAAAGATTTTTCTCTCTCCATCATATTCATTATCATCATCTTTTCGTCTCATTTACTCTTTTTGTTTCTTCTTCTTCTCTCTCATTATTCTTTGATGTTGTTGTTGTTCCCCTGCATCATCAACTTTTTCCATGTTTCCTCATCCACCATGAATTTCCTTCAACTGAGAATCTTTTCCCTTCACAATATTAGACTAATTTTCTTGTTTCTCTTTCAATTTTCTCCTCATCTTTAAGCATCTTTGGCTCTTTTCCTCTGGATCTTGTTAAAAATGTTCAAATCTCATTTGGCGAACTCATTCACTGTCAGTGAGTCAATCACCTCTCTCTCTCTCATCATCATCATCATCCATTCACAAGTTCTTGGCCTTCTTAAGATACTTTTCTTAATTCTCACTGAATAATCTGCTCAATTTATTTTCTTTTTTCTCTTTCTTCCTCCCGAAAAATTCACAAACACCCAATGATATATTTATACTTTCCAAGGTTCTACTTTAATACCAGGAAACAAATTGATTGATTGTCAACTGATTTTCGCTGATAAACCATTGACTTAATTTCTTACTCAATCATTTGGCAAATACTTAACATACACTGTTAACAAATCGTCTCAATAATCTTTCAACTTATCGTGATATATGATTGTCTCCGATTCCATCAATGAAGATTACAACTCTCATATTATCACAATAAATATATTACAATAATAATCATCATCTTCATCTTTGTGTCATTCATATAATTATAATGGCAGGAGGGATTGAGGGGCATTCTGATCCTTGTCAAGATTATTGTAAATACTTACCAACAATTACAATCATTTATACAGCGAGAAAAATTAACATAATCATCATTATGATTCCTTACCACAAGAATATCAACAATTTAATTGATTTAATAACAATTATAATGATGATAATATCTACTATTTTGGCATCATGTTAACAATTAACCATTTGCTTTTACAAGGCTACTGTAATGTGATTAATTGTTGTATGGTATCGTTCATTGAAACTGTGATATTTGATTACAATTTAATTGCCATAAAGTTAAATTATTGGTAAAGTTCAATGGAAAATGTATAAGATGATTTAAAGATAATCGAGAGATTGAAGATTATCCTCTCATGATCAAATTCTGTCGAGATTATCTCATCTTTTTTGCACCGAATTAACCAGTAAAACCTTTGTCTTTATCATCGTAATTTAATTTCATTGTTAAATTGTTTCTGTACAAATTAATTGACAATCATCGCTATTAATCAATATGATAATCCTCAGACTTGTTAATCTCAACTCTTTCAAGATTAAGTTTGACCGTAACTTTGACCCTAATCAATTAATTGTTTTGATTGATAGAAAATCTCAATTGCATAGAATTGATTAGATGTTAATGAAAACAATTGGTTTATCCTCTTATCGATCACAATTAAATCAACTAATCTCTAACTCTCTATCTTCCCTTGACTGTCAAACAATTAAATACTTTGATAATAGCAAAGGCACTAGAATTAGCTGATTTCAATTGATTGTTATACCTCCTACGTTTAATATTAACAGTAATTAATAGTCAACTTTAACTTAATTGTAATAATTTCAATTCTTGAGCTTAATTTTTTTACCATTAAAGTTTTTTATCATTTCCAATTCATTTCTAATTAGTTACTAACATCATAATGGAAATTAAGAAGCTGAAAATCTTATGTTCAGCAATGGACAGGTAAGTTTATCAAATTGATTGTTTTCTTTAATTATTGTATAAGAATTGGATTTACTTATGAGATTATTGAATAAATTTTCAGCCAAGGTCATGTAAATGCTATTCTTGGATTTGCTAAAGTTCTGGAGGAAAGAGGTCATCAAGTTATCATGACTCTTGCCCCTGGTTGGGGTCCGTTGATAAAGAAACATGGATTTGAATTTATCCCATTGCAATTGGAAGAGAAAGTAAAAATGACCAAGTGACCAATGGAAACTCTGATGCACCAAATAAGATGCTAATCGATGTGGTCAATGCTCAATTGAAAAGTTTAAGAATGACCCCAATGGAAGCGGTCAGTCAAGATGAATCGAGAATATGGATTCCATGGTATGATAAGCAATTTAAATTCGATGATGCTATTCAAACCGTAATGGAATCAGTTAATCCTGATTTTATTGTTATCGATTTTATCATGAGACTTCCATGTTTAGAGAAAAGTTCAATTCCATGGGCTCAATTATGGTCCGCGAATCCAATGATGTTATACCATGGGCATCTTCCGCCAGCGACTACAGGATTTCCAACCGATAGTCCTAAAGAGCTTTGTGATAAATACATTTCATTGAAGAAAACTAAAGGCGAAAAAATTTTCAATCATCTTAATAATTGGCTAATTAGTAAGGGTGTTCGCCCACATACACCCGATGAACCGATCTTAGTGGCAGAATCAAAGTGGATCAACTTTTACACTTACCCTGAATTCCTTGATTACAACGATATTGCACCTAAATTAGCTAAATGGGTTCGCATGGATGCTGCAGTTAGAGAGCCTGATTCAACTGAGCCTTTTGATTTACCTGAAAGTCTTAAAGATAAACCTGGTAAATTGATTTACTTTTCACTTGGTTCAATGGGATCAATTGATTTGGAACTCATGAAAAGGGTGATCAGTGTTTGTGCTAAATCACCTCATCGATTTATCGTATCCAAAGGTCCACTTCATGAACAGATAGATCTTCCTGATAATATGTGGGGCGATCGTTATGTCAACCAACTTGCGATTTTACCTCATGTTGACCTGGTCATTACCCACGGCGGGAACAATACATTAACTGAAAGTCTCTATTGTAGTAAACCGTTAATTGTGTTACCTTTGTTTTTCGATCAACCCGATAATGCACAAAGAATTAAAGAGAAAGAAATTGGTATTCGTATTGATACTTATCGTTTCGAGGAATCTGAACTTCTTCAGGCTATCGAAAAGTTGATTAACGATGAACCTTTGAAAGAAAAACTCTCGACAATTGCTTCAACCTTAAAATCGTCAACTACAAGGGAAACTGTTTGTCAACTAATTGAGAAAACTGTTCATCTTGGAAAATCACCATTCGATGAAGATAATTAAATCTCTAACAATTTAAATCACTTGAAAATTATCGGAGTTTCTGTTTGTACAACAATCAAATCTAGAATCGTATTTAATTATCATGAGTTTTTTTTTCGGGGAAATTGATTTCTTATCATTCATTGTTTATTTTTAATGTTTCTATTGTTAATTAATGATAATTGTTAATAAACTATTCAACTTTTTCGTTAATCAATCACAGTATAATTACAATTTCGCGATAAATGAAAGGTATTCACCCATCACATGTAAATCCAATGAGATTATCCTAATTATTATCCCAACAATCAACACCTTTAATTGATAGCAATTGATCAATGATCAACTATTGTCATTGAATATTTCAATTTAAAAGGTTGATTGATTAGATTAAATTGCGCGATTTTCTGTTAATTGTTGTTGATTTTCAGTTTCATTTTGATGGTTATTATTGATTAGATTATTAAAGATAATAATGTTATCATCAAGTACTTGACAATCAACATTGTTAACTGTTGATTGTCAAACTGAGATTCAGTTGTTAATTGTGAACCAGTTTGTGTTACATTGAGATTTGTTTTTATTCAATATTTTGTTAACAATCAATTTTAATTACTTTCAAAATGGTTAAGGTGCTTTTGTTTGCTATGGATGGGTAAGTTAATTGTCCAATTAATTGATAGTATCTAATTGTTGATGATTGTAAATCATTTCTCAGTCAAGGTCATGTGAATGCTATTCTGGGATTAGCCGGAATCTTATTCCAAGCTGGACATGAGGTTGTAATCGCTTTGTCCAAAGGATGGGAAGAGCTGGTGGTCAAGAGAGGTTATCAATTTTATCAGCTGGAACCTGAATCTGAACCGGAGGTGGAAAAACAGGAAGATGTAAAAGATAAAAACAACAACAATGATGATGAAGGAGAAGAAGATGATAATGGTGATGGTAAAGGAGGGGATAGGAATGAAAAATCGTTCGAATTTTTCGAGAAAATATTAGGCTCCCTTCGAAAAGACCCAATTGAAGCTCTAGAACAGTTCGATAGCCAAGTTGTCGTCGCTTATTTAAAGTGGGCAACTGCAATGTACAAATACGACGAGCCCTTAGCTCGAGCGATAGATACCATTAAGCCCGATATGGTTATCCTTGATTTCATCTTAAGATTACCCTGTTTGATTAAAGGTTCAACCCCATGGGCAACCCTTTGGTCATGTAGTCCAGTTGCTCTTTACAGAGGTTTTGTACCACCGGAAGGATCGGGTTTCCCACTTGATAGTCCAAAAGAATTGTGGGAAAAATTTTACTCTTTACACTACGAAGGTTTTAAGCCACTTCGAGATTATCTTAATGGAAAGTTAATCGCAGCCGGTGTTGAACCTTACCATGATAACGAATCATTTTATATCTTTAAATCACCTTACATGAATATCTACAATTACCCTGAGGCACTTGATTACAATGATATCGCCCCAAGGCCAGATAAGTATTACCGTATGGACGCTGTTATCCGTGAGCCCGATGATAAAACACCATTCAGTTTACCAGAAAATTTGACCAATAAACCTGGTGCTTTGATCTACTTTTCCCTTGGGTCAATGGGCTGTGTGGACATTGAATTAATGAAAAGAGTGATCAGTGTTTGTGCTAAATCACCTCATCGATTTATCGTATCCAAAGGTCCTTATCATGAACAGATAGATCTTCCTGATAACATGTGGGGTGATCGATATCTCAATCAAATTGCGATTCTACCTCATGTTGACCTGGTCATTACCCACGGCGGGAACAATACACTAACTGAGAGTCTCTATTTTGGTAAACCATTGATTGTCCTTCCACTTTTCTATGATCAACTGGACAATGCCCAGCGAGTTGAGGATAAAAAGCTTGGTGTAAGATTGAATACTTATAAATTTACCGATAATCAAATGCTCGAGGCTATTGAGAAGCTTTTAAACGATAGCCAATTATATGATCGATTAGAGGAAATTTCTTTCAATATGAAGAATACAAAAACTCGTCTCGAAATTGTCAAGCTAATTGAGAAAACAGCAATTACCAAGAAGAGTCCAGAATGACCATTAATTATGATTGTCCAATCAAATGAGCAAACATGCTGACCATTTATCCTCTTATTAAAATCCATTGAAACCATTGACCCTAATTGACCATTAACTGATTCAAATGTCTGATGATGAAAAATATTAATCAACTTTTCTCACATTAAAATTAATTAACTTGAAAATGGTTAACAATTTAAACCAACCAAATAGTAATAATAATGATAATTAGCCAGTTTATCCTCTTGATTATACACAATATCAAGTGAACACGTTAAATTGTTGATTAAAACCCTTTATTTTTAATATAATTAAGATTTTATTTTAAGCCATTTAATCAATTATACAATCAGTTAAATAATATCAACTTTACTAGTGAAAGAAATGTACTAAACAATTAGCATGATTTAATTTAATTGGATAAAAAAAATACACATCTAAATATATTAATAGAAATTAAATTAATTCAAAATAACGATTAATGATTAAAATTGAATCAATTTTTTCACCCAACTAATAAAGTAAAATAATCAACAACAATCAAAAGTCAATCATTAAATAGTAAAGCAAAAAAAAAACCTATCAAACAATTAACTGTTGGTGCTATTGATTGGATATATATTATCAAAACTAATACATCAATCAAACAATCAACTACCTCCCCCTCTTGTAATCAATTAAATTGGTTATTTAATTTAGTTAAATTGTAAACAAAAATCAAATCTACTTAACGATTGATGAATTAACCATGAAACATAAACTCACAACAATTAAATGTAATGTACATGAGATGATGAATAAGTATAATTGATGTTAGTTAACGATTACCCTTAATCAACTGACAACAATCAAGAAAAGCTCGCGAATATAATTAACATAACCAAGACAATTTAACAATCATCACGATAGAGTTAATTAATTGGTTACAGTTAATTTAGATCACATTTTGATTATGATTTTTACGCGAATCAAGAAAAAAAAAATGGTTAACTAATGTCAAGAAGTTTTCAAAGTTATTAAATTTTCAGGTTTCCATCAACTGACCAGGTAACAATATAATGAAAATGATATTGAGATGATGATGATGATGATGAGGAAAATGATGATGAGCATGATGATGATAAGACAGAATTGTAAAGATTATAATATTAATAATAATAAGATGATGATGAAGAAAGTGGTTGAAAAGAAACGGAAGATAAATTGTTGAAGGAGTTTTTTTGATTGTAGCTCATCAATCAGTTGTTATCCATAATAACGATAATCAGGTAATAAGTTTAATAGCAATTAAAGGTTTCGTTTTCAGGTCAATTGTGAGCCAATTGAAATTGGTAAAGGATAAAATAACGTTACCTTAACATGACAGGATAATATAATTTCATACCTTTAGTTTAATCATCATCATCATCATCATCATCATTGTAAAGTTGATAAGCTGACCCAAAGAAAACAATTGTCCATGAAAAAAGTTTTGGGAACATTTTCTTACGATAATAAATATAATATGTTATCAAATCAATTCTAATCATATCAGATTAAAATTAATGATCAGTTTGCTTGAAGAAAAGATTGGAAAAAAAATCAACATGTTAACGGTCATCAATTGAATTACCTATTTGATTAACCTATGAAGTCACCTCTCTCTCTCTCTCTCCAGGTAAAACTGACCACTAACCCACTTTTGTTGTTCAAGTCAACATTGTATAGTTAACACAACAATAAATGTTATATGAGTTTCTGATTGTATTCCAGTCACAATTCATTGATAAATTTTATTTACTATTTTCAGGATAATACAATTAATTTTTATTGTAATGAAAATCAAATTTATTATATTTTATTACTCGAGATATTTTTGTTAACCTTTTTTTTGCCAGTTAATTTGGTTAATTGAATTGTTACTTAGATGGAAAATACTTTTTCTTCATTAATTTATATTGCCAATTGAATTGGTGCTCTTAATTGTCACTAATCAATTAGAATAAATTTCGATTGTTACAATTGATCATTTTATATTTATATAAGTGGGTATCATAATTATCGTCAATAATTAACCTTGACCCATACATGTACATGTATATGAATTATATCTTGGCTTTCCATTGATAACAATTAAGGTAAATTGTTGATTTTAATCACTGAGAGATTAACTTGTATCAACTAATTCAAAGCTCATTCATTTGATTAGCTTTATTGTTGAATGAAAATTGAACATTTCATTGATTGATGAGATGAACAATGATGATGATGATGATGATGATGATGTGCTCATCATTTAGATTGTCTTATTAGGCTAATTAGTTAACCTTAAGTTGGTGGGAAAAAAAGTGTTGATTAGGATGATAGATATTAAATGTCAAGAAAGGTTAAATCCATTATCTCAGATTAAGATTAGTAAAGTTACTTGATAGACAAAGAGAGAAGAAGATTAAATTAATAAGAGATACAATTGAATATCTTGGATTAAGTATTAGATTTAGAATTGCGATATAATGTGCTGAGAGGTTATCACGAACTCGGCGAAATTAAAATTGTTTCAAATCTATTTCAAGGTGGGAAATATACACACTAATTGATGGCGAATAGAGATAAATGTTCACAAGATGATGAAGATGAGGATGAAAAGATGAAAAGATGAAGAAAAAAATAAGATAATATCGATAAAATTGAATGGAAATCTTTATATTATTATTATAAAAGTTTCTTCTTCCGGTTAATTATTAATATTAATCCGAAAAACTTACCATTCAGAATCGAGAAAACAAAAAGTTCTGATGGAAAAGTTTATTCGTTGATCATGATGAAAACGTTGATACTAATTAAATGATAATAGACTTTACAATTAGCTTTCAAATGATGCGAATAGTTTATTCATCATCTTGAGGGATTAAGTAATTAAACAATTGTACAATTAAATGTTCACAATTGGATTACATGTTTAAATCATTTTTCTCACTGAAAACGTTGAATATGATTAATATAATTTACGCAGCTTAATTAAAGATTATCAGGAATTAATTATAATTAAAACAGGTTCTTATTTATATCCAACATGAAATGGGAAACGAATTATATTAAATTTCAATTGTTAATCGTAACTGATTGTTGTCCAATGATTAATAATATGTAAAGGAAACGATTAACTGTTAATCCGCTAATAATCAAAGTGAAAGGAAGTTAATTGTTTCGCCTAATTGTAATTGGCAAGTTAATTAATCAGGAAGATGGTGGAAGATCAAGGATAAGTGATTACCTGTTGAGATTTTTTCTCTTGTTGATCATTTTTTTTAACCCAATTTCTATTATTTTAATCCTGATAATAATCCGTTAAGATTAGGATTAAATTGTTGATGTTTGTGTGAAAAAATAACAACAACAAATGAGTTATAATTAACCATGAAGGAAAAGGTTGATTTGATTCATTTTGATTACAATTGATTACAAGAAGATAAAAAAAACATATTAGATAATCTTGATTGCTGATGATGATGATGATTAACAACAATTGACCATCACTAATTAACTAATCATGCATTTCAAGATGATAATATGGTTTGTTCATTGAAAATAATATTCTTATGAAATTGATTGTTATTATTTTTATCATTCTGATTATTTACCGTTATCTTTTTTTAGCAATATTTTTGATTGTCAATGATTTGCAGTTTGATTAAAGGAGAAACAATTAACCCTAATGAACAAGTAACAATCATCATTTGATTGGTGAATTAATCATGTATGTAATGATAATTAAACTTTTAGGACAGAAAATACAACATTTTGGTTAATTGTTGACAATCAATATCAATCATTATCATAATAGATTCAAGATCAATTAATTGCTATTAGTGTTAATCAATAACCAGTGTAAATAATTTGGACACTTGAAAATTAACTGATCACAATTAAGGATTTTGATTGTTACCATGTTAAGTTTTTTCTTCAGATTGATTGTTTTTCCGGGCGAGAAAAAAAAAGACATCTAAACATGATTAACTTAATTGTTTCACTGATTAACATGGTTATATGTTTTCACTGTTCTATCGTCATTGAATTGAAGCGTCACTTAATTGTTAATTGCTACAAATTATCAGGCGAAACCAATTCATTGAGTTAACCGAGCAAAGAAACGGTCAATCATGAACCTTTTTTTAGCAAACACTTAAATTGTGATAGTTAATTGTAATTGTTGTTGTTGTTGTTGTTTTTCCTCAAACAATTTAGTAATAACTTTAATCCAACAAGTTAATAAACTGTTTGTCTATCTTTAAGATTAGTGGATTAATATGATTAACCTTACTAATTGTTTCCAGAGGTGAATAATCATTCTCGTTGATTGTTGATCAAACTCTAAATTTATTGAGAATCTATCAGTCTAATTGTTATCTGGAGGTTAAATTGTTGTACTGATTGTCACAAAAATTGTTCTAATTGTAACTGATTGACTCTTTAAGCGTGATAACCAATAATTACCTATTGGTGAAAACTGAATTAAACGTTTACTCCGCAATTATGATTCCTAATTTCTTTCAAGGAAGTCCAATAATCAAGAAGCTGAGGAAGATATTATTTAGTAGGAAGATGATTAACTTATCATGAGTTAACACACCAATGGGTTCATGAAATCATCCTGATGAACATGATGAGGAAGAGAAAGTTAATCACAGAATTGGAAACATATTGGAACTTTTTTTCTTCTTCTTCCAAAAAAAAATTGCCTCTGATTGTGAAAACTATGAATGAACCTGCAATTTGATAAATTGCCTCAGGCTAATCATAAATCCAATTCTAAGCACATAATAGTTGACAAATTAACATTCTCATCGTAATCATCTTAATCACTTTAGTCATAATTCATTGGATTATCTCAAGATGATCTTCCTGCTTGATCAACATAATCATTCAGTGAATTACAATTTAAAAGTAAAAGTTAAATTGAGGCTAAATTGTCAATGGTCAACAGTCTGATTGTTGTTAATACTAATTGTTAACTCAATGAGTTTACGTATTTAGTTAATTGGTTTGATAATTGATGCAATAATTAACTTACAAATCGCGTTAACTTGAGTTGAACTTAATTAACTAATTGTTATCCTGA